TGTCCGTCCGTTTGATCCTTTTCCGGCATTCGGATTGGCTACTTTTGCATTATTTGCTCATTTTGGATTGGCTGATTATGCATTTTTGGCTCATAACGCATTGGCAGAGTTTGCCTTTTTGTGTTGATAATTACATGTGCGATTTCCATATTAGAGTGTCCATTGGTCGTGCTTCTATCTATAACACTAATATACGAAACGATTGCACACATACGTGTTCATATTTAATATAAACACAGCTTATTTATAAATATAAGATGAGACATGCTTTATAATCGGTATAATTTATGGGCTCAGTGCTTTATTAATACACTAGAAAGGTGGCAAAAGCAAGCGTTTTCATCAGGTTGTATTAAATTGCTTACAATAAGTGATGTGACCCATATGTGTTGTATGTGCATTTTGTATATATTGTTACGTGAGCAGAATTCCATAATATGATTTAGTCCATCCCTGGGTGTCCACATCACGTGCTTATATCTATAAATTGAATATACGAAACGATGGCACACATAAATGTTCATATGTATCATTACATATTGCAATATCAAACATAGATTTTTTAGGAGAGTAGATGAGACACATACTTTCACTTCGTTAGTCAAAACATGGGCTCCGTTCTCATATAATACACTAAATAGTGGCAAAAGCAAGCGTAGTGATCAGGTTCAAGTGTATGCAGTTAAAATAAAGCGAATCGACTCACATGTAATGCATCATACTTATTCATTCACCTGAGTCAACCGTATATTCTACATTACGGAACGATGGGTTTACATTTACATTTACATTTATATTCATCAATTTATCTATTGAACCGGATATATAGAAGTAATATATATGGGTACGAAGATCAAAAAACTTTGCTTACTGTGTCCGTCAAAACGACGGGTACACATTGATCTGCGAAACGACAGGTATACATTGGTCGGCGTCGACGCGTACACATTGACTTGTTTACATATTGACCATAAAATAAATTAATTTACCTTAGTAAACCGGATATATAATAAGGTAAAATGGTGGGCCAATATGCTATCAGCGTAAAATTTGCGCACCCATATGTCAGAACGACGGATTAACATCCTAGACCTTAGTATCAAAAAGCTGCATATAGGTTGAAAGTAGCATGGAAAAAGCTGATTGACACACCAACATTCGGTCCTTTCCATTTAATTTGTTACAATTTATGGTCCGCTCGGACCTTATCGTCGCAACGTCAGATGAACACAACTACTTATTTGTATTAACGCAAGTAGATTTCCATCACTTATATATTCAATTAGTAATATGTATCAGGTATAGATATATATTTCGTCGGACATCCATCTACAGGAGTGGGTATCATGACTATAATTTGTATTGTATAATCTATATGATATCTCCATCCATCATGCTATATCATGCTAAATGGAAAATGCACGAAACGACGGGTACACGTTGAATTCCATACCCATCACTTCACCATAGCCGACCCTATCTTTTAAGTAAAAATGCATATATATACTACTTCGCACTGTCGGAACGACCGGTGAATGCCCTAACGAAACGCTGCGTTAAAATTGCCCGTATGAGTACACATTGACCTTTATATCATCATTTAAATGTAGTCAACAAAACGGTTAAGCAATGATATAAAGGTCAGTATATTACCAGCGTCGACTCGCCCACCATATCCGTCGGAATGACGGGTATACACCCTAGCAAATTGCGGCGTTTAACATGCCAAAATTTGTTACTTTGCACCATCAAAACGACGGGTGAACACCTTAAAAGAGGTGGGTCGATGAAACACGATGCAATCGTCCATCGATTTACTAGGGTGTAGGCATTATCTAAAAATAAATGACTGTATATTATAGCGTTACAGAAATTCGCTAATGTGTATCCGGTGGAACGACGGGTTTACATTGACCTGAATACACTTTGACTTTAATACCTATCAATTTACCTAATTTAACCTGATATTCTAAGCAGAGTGATAAGCCAGTATACTGTAGGCGTGTCCGTCGAAACGACGGGTGAACACCTTAGCAAATTGCTGCGTTAAAATGCCTATATATACTACTGCGCACCGTCGGAATGACGAGTGAACACCCTAGCAAAGTGCTGCGTAAGTATTGCTTATATATACTAGCAGCCTAGATTTCGCACGCTATGTTCGTAGAAACAACGTGTGAGCGCCCTAGGGATGTGCTGCGGGTATTTGTACTATCAGCGTTGAATTTGTTCACCTACTGTATCCGTCGGAACGACGGGTAAATACCCTAGTTAGCAATAAAAATGTACGACAGAAGCAATCAGAGTAGGTGCACAAAAACTAATTTGAACGATACTTGCCTAAGTATACTTGACAGCTCATTTATTTATTTCTACAGTTGCCCATATTACAGAATGGGGAAGGTTAAGGTTCACTCGGGGCTGCAGCTGCAGGTGATGATACTTTACAAAAAGGTGTTGCAGGCAGCCAAGAGAAAGGACATTGATACGTTGCAATACGTGCGTGAGCGCTTTCGCGAGGATGTAGGAATCGCTGATGCCGTATTCGTGCTACTCGAGCGAATTGTTAACATACGGTGTATACTTTTGAACATCATGTATACTTATATAGGTGACAACAGTAGACCGCAAGGATTTTGCCGTGATAGAGTATATGTTGCGCAACGGTGAACGCGACCTCAAGATGCTAGATAGAATGAAGTCGGTGCATTTTACGAATGTGTCGCCCCAGAAGTAGCTGGAAGAATGCAAGTGTTATAAATCAATACATCCCGGACGATGGATTGTTCAGTAAGTACTACTGTATTGACATCCATACAATTTTCATGTATTATTCTGAATGTTCCATATTTTACAGACAATCCTTATGTGGTTGGTAAAATATTCAGAACAAATTTTATATATTGAAGTAGAATACTAGTGAAAACAACAATGATCCATATGAGAAGACAAGACGTCGGAATATTTGACTCCGTACATTTGAAACTTCATATTTGATGTCAGATTAGAAGCTGGTAATGAAGGGTGGAGGGTATTGAAACTAAACTCCTCATGCTCATACAAGGCAAGTGCAACCGAACAGGAGGAAGAGAGATACACGCATTGTAAGTTTCCCCAATAATATCATCCAGTAGTTTGAATGTATCTAGCTGATCAATTTCAGTGCAAACATCCTCAGATTACATGACTACGAAAAAGCAACTCTGTTATTATATTTGTTTACTATGCTATTCAAGTATCGAGAAGTCTGTGAACCGATCTTTCATTCCTCTTCACACGTGTCGAAGTCGACGAGTGGTAATGCCAAAAAGATTACCCAATGTCTGCTTGAAACCATGTCCATTGAACTTTGTCACAGTCAGTGTACCGTCGTCGTTGCTAGTCGACAAAGGTGTCGCATCTCGTTCTTCTTTGGTGGTGACACTACCAGGTGAATATTCTTGGACATCACGTTCACCTTTGGTGGACGATACTATCTCGGCATTATTCTCAGTAACACTATCCGCAGCTGGGGTTGAGAGTGGGTTGCCCATGCCGTGCTTGACTGAAAGCAGCGCGATCATGAACACGAAAGCGATGTTGATCCGAAACATGAGTTGATTTGGAAACTTGACTTGGCGATAACGTTGGCGATGCTTTGGTGGTGCTTTTGACGTTGCAAAATGGAAAATGAAGACGACGATTCCATTAAAACTGTTAACGCAGTTGGCTTAGATGTGATCTGGTTGAACAACAGCAATTTGCGTGCATAAAACAGGATTGCAGGAAAAACTGAACAAAACGTGAGAAAAAAGCTGCATTGTGTCCGATTATGTTTCAGTACTCTTGAATTGTATACGCTATGAAACCTGGTGCATGTTGAAGGAGAGCTGCGATCTCTGAACTTTGCTTGGTGGTACATCAACTACGAACTGTAT